GGTGTGGGGGAGAAAACCACACATTGGAACTGATAACAGAATCATACTAGTCCAATCATTAAAGACCCACTTGAGGGGCGCCTGGTTGGTGCAGTCAGTTAAGCGTCCGACTTCAGCCAGGTCACGATCTCGCGGTCCATGAGTTCGAGCCCCGCGTCGGGCTCTGGGCTGATGGCTCAGAGCCTGAAGCCTGTTTCTGATTCTGTGTCTCCCTCTCTCTCTGCCCCTCCCCCGTTCATGCTCTGTCTCTCTCTGTCCCAAAAATAAATAAACGTTGAAAAAAAAAATTTTTTTTAAAGACCCACTTGAAACACCTTTCATCTCCTTATATCACTGCCCCTTGTAAGTTTGTTTTGAGGTTTATATTCTGTGAGAAAGTTCACTCACCATTCAAATGTAATTATTTATAGAGTGCTCAGTGTATTTGCAAAGTATTGGCTAGAAATGTCTAATCATCAGTGGGGAGGTGGAGGGGAAGAAAGTGAATTAGATTTATTGCATGCCCTTGAACTGCATTACATGTTTTGTTCAAAAACTAGAACCTTACACAGAGCATGATGATATAAGGTGGTAGGAATAAATGTCACCAGCCTCCAATACCATCTTTAGTGAAATTTCATTTCTGGTAGGAAACTGTTTACATTAGAACAAGAACAAAATCATCTCAGCTTTTCAAATGTTCACGTGCCTGACCTATGTTTGTCACATACTGTTGGTTAATGTTTTAGTACAGGGCAAAGGTTCCTGGTCTGAGCCTTAGGGGTCCTGAGTTCTGATCTCAATGGATTCTAAGTAGGAGAGTTGCTTGGTGTGCTGTGTCACTGCCTAGAACACACTGTTCTGATTGATGATGAACTCTTTTATATGGAAGATGCAAAACTCTTTTCATGTTCTTGGTAACATGAAATGTTTTTCTCTGGCTGACCATTATTCCTTTTACCTCTTGTAGTAAGAAGTACTCATTATGATGCTCTGATGTGTGACTAAATCGTCTGGTAAATATCATTGGAATAATATATATTTTCAGTTGTAACAAAAGCAATTGTAATCCAGATGCAGTTGGAAAAGCTCTTCCTCTTAAGAACAAGGTAAGGTGGATCCAATCCCCCATTCTCTAGATTCTGAAGGACAAATACTCTCTTTACTACATTGTGGGGCTTATATTCTCAAGTTTCTTAACTCTAAGTTTTGCTTATGGTAAATTATTTCAGTCTAGAAATGGCCTTGACATCTCATATGCACTGTACCTGGCTCATACAGATAGGATGCACTGCCTGATTAGTTAATTTCCCCAAGGAAAATATGTTTGAGGGTAGGAGACTTTATTAAAGTTTCAGAAGGTAAAGAGTTTTCTATCTAAATCAAGCCCCCCCAAACAAACAAAATAAGTCATAAATTTATTGTTAGACATCTCTAATAAGCAAAGTGGATGATGAGCCAAGTTGATAGGGAGGAAGCTCCAGAATGAAATATGTTTTCCTCTGGTTGAACACTATTCATCTGACCTCTTGTAGTAAGAAGTAGCCATTCTATGCATGACTAAATTGACAGGTAAATATCATTGGAATCATCTAGAATCAAAGTGTGTGGGCTAGAACAAAGGCTTTACCATTGCTATGAATCATGAAGTGACCTTCCTGTCTCTGGGTTTCAGTTTCTTCATGAGTGAAATAAAGACACCAAAGACACCTATCTCCTAAGATTTTTTCGAAGAGGTAATTATTTCAGTTCATATAAGTTGCTTAGAATAACCTAACATACAGCATGTGATCAATAACTGTTACTATTTAATTAATTAAAGTATATTTGAAGGCCTTCAGCCATTTCAAACTCATAACAATATGGCTTGGTCTTTGTCCCTTCCTTTCTCTCAGCATCATCTTCTTCCCTCCCCTGTTAAACTCCTATGTTTATTTTTATCATTTCATAATTCTTATTTAAGTTTTTATGATGTTATTTAATAAATTGTCAGATGACCCTCACTTTCGTGGTCTTAGCTATATATAACTAGTAGCCTTCTTTTGGTGTTACTGCTCCAAGTGGCTTATCAAGGCATTTTCCTGAACTAGGACATATTCCTCTGTAAAAGGAACTCTAGAAGCAAGTGACTTTACAGATAAATATGTATATTGCTTTCAGAATTCCACACATGTGCATGTGTGTGCATAATATCCTTAAGTTATGGAATATATTTTGATCCAATCTAGCTGCACCCTTTTGAAGGTGGCACTTCTACTAGGTCATCATACTTTAATTATGAGAGGCTGACTTTTGTTCAAGGTCAGTTGCTGAGTAAGTGCAGAAGAAAGATTTTAACCAGACTCTGACTATTCCCCAAAGCCAGAGCTCCTTCTACTCTCCCTAGGCAGTTCTTTTGTGTGATCTCACTTAATCCTCAACAGTCTCAAGAGAGTGGTACTATTGTTATCACTTTTTACAAGTAAAGACACTAAGACTTTGAGAGGTTAAGTGAATTGACCAACATCATGCAGCTAGTAAATGTCAGAGCCCAAGTCAGACAGTGTGCCTTTTGCAGATCTACTTTTTAACAATTATGCTGTATTAACTCCAACCCCAAAACAAAAGGGAGTCAGGTAGACAGAGCGGAGGATCTAGGCCGAATATAGTTAGGATGATTTGTTCTAGTAGGAGCTACTTAAAGCTGCTGTTAAAAGAAAAACAATTTCCTAAAGGAATTCTATGAGATCCCTTCGGAATGCTAGCAATTCAGTCAAACTTAGCTTATGAAACACTGAACTAAAAGGCATTTGTCTCCTAGCGTTAGCCTTCCAGTTGGTTCATAAGACGCAAAAAAAAATGTTAATGTTAAATCCAACAGGAAAAAAAAAACTACTTATTTTAAGAGGGAAAATATATAAGAGCTCTACTCTAGGATACTGTTGATATAAAGAAAACCAGGAGGACTAGACAGGCAGGCTTTTGACAAAAATCACAGCTGAAGACAGAGCTTGATAGTTTCCAGCATAAAAAAAGATAAAAGAATTCAGAGACCATTCTGAGAGAGAGAGAGAGAGAGAGAGAGAGAGAGAGAGAGTGTGTGTGTGTGTGTGTGTGTGTGCCGGCATGTGTCTACTTGTCTTAATAAGCTTCCCCTGCCGCCCAACTCTTCACCCCCATCTAGTTGGTGACTCGAAGCCTTCAGATGAAAGCTCAGTATGTGAGGACTACTAGTTGGCATTCTCTGCAGGAGACTATCCTCACACAGGGGTGACCCTGTGATGCAGGAAAGGCTATTTAATGCCCTGGCGAAGTGGTTGAGGGACCAAGATTTCATTATGCTTCCGGGATCAGAGTGGTGATCCAGCATCCCTGATTTAGAGCCACTTAGGGCTCCAACAGCTCCACCCCGGAGTTCAAGAGGAAAATATTCCTGCATGGTCTCTGCCTGATCTGAAAAAGGCACAGCTTCCCGATGTTCCGCCTGGGAGATGGTTCAGTCTTTAGAAATTGCCAGAGAAGCCTGTCCATCTGCTGGGATGCCTGGCTTTCTGGAACGGACGAGAAGGAGTTAGACTTTTAATCGGAGTAACTTGAGGATTTTCTGTTTGTAACTAAAAACCGCCGCATAATTCAAAATAAAAAAGACACATGCTGTGGCAGGTAGACACTGGGAAAATCCATGTGACGAAGTATGATCTAAAAATTCCTCATTTAATTTCCCCCGGGAAAGAGTAAATATTTTCTCTTTGGTACTGGGGCAGTCGACTCGAGTGATCTGCCTTCAAAAGAAGGTGCGTTCGAGAGGTGGGTTGGTTAGTGGGAGCAAAACGGGGAGGAATTAGCCCAGGATTTGGATTGCTCCCGGCCAACCAGAAGCTGCTCCAGTTAACTCTCAGGAGGAGAGTTTCCACCGTTGCCACCCCTCCAGACCCTTCTTCCTCCTCCGCTCCCGCCCTAGGACCCAAGGCGCGCCCCGCCCCACCAACCCGGAATTCTCCACCCCCCCAGCGTCCTGCCCCGCTACTCTCTTCGTTGAAGATGGAGGCTGCAACATCACCGCCGAAAAATCCCTGCGGAGCGAGCCACTGGATTCTGCGTCTGGGGACAAGCGCTTTTTGAACCCTGGCGAGGCTGCGTGGTGACCAAGAAATGGGAGGCCGGACCGAGAGGGCGATCGTAAAGCCGCCGGCTGGAGGCAGCCCCGAGGGCTCCCCTCCCCGCGCGCTCGCGGCGCCTGTGTCTGCTCCGTATTGGCTAGCGTGGTTCCGGGGGCGGAGTCACGGGAAGCACCTCCCATTCGGGGGCCCCTGGATCCCGCGAGCGCCTCTCCCGCGGAGTTCCAGAGCTGGGCTCCGTCTGCGACTCGGTCCTGCAGCGCCTCTAGGCTGCAGGTCGGTGCTCCAACCACCTGCTCGGCGCTGCGTTTTGGGAAGCGGGGAAGAGAGAGGAGGGAGGGGGGGCGGCGGTGGGGGGAGGAGGAGGAGGAGAGAGGAAGCTTACACACGCCTTCCAGTCCCTCCACTCAGAGCAGCCCTGAGACCGCTGCCGTCGCCGCTGCTTTCGCTGCTACGGCTCTGCCACCTGAGGAGACCGCCTGGACTCGCCGCCCCTGTGGCCACCCCCGGCGATTCCTGCCTAGCACCGGGCTTTTTATGCACACTGCCACTACCATTATTATTATTATTCCAAGAGAGGGAGAACAACAGACCAGCCTGAAAGAACCACGTACACCTTTCTGAAATAGTGAAGTGTCTCCTGGGAAGAGAGGGTCGTCGGTCCCGGGAGAAGGAGCCACTGGGGCCAAGGGCAGGTGTTGAAGGGGAGGAAGGAAGAGTTGGGGCACTGCGTGGCGGAAAGTTGCTTGCGGCGGAGAGCCGAAGGTCCAGCGCCACAGCCCAGGGGGGGCGGTGTGCCTGGGAGAAGCCGCTGCCCCCTGCGTTGGGACCTGCGAGCTCGCGGGCAGCGCGGGGCCGGGACGACGCCCCCTCCTGCGGCGCGGACGCTGTCGGTGGCCCCCAAAGAGGACGAGGAGGAGGAATATGGCATCGAAGGCGGGCCCCTCCTGCCGTCTAGTCTTCTGCCTCTTGATCTCCGCCGCTGTCCTCCGGCCAGGTGAGCAGGGGCCTGGGAGCAGCCCAGGCCAACGTGGAACGGGGGCAATTTCCTGAGTCTGCGGCGCAGGCCTCGCACCTCCGGGGCTGTGAGCCGGGGCGAGTGGGGGCGGTGCGGGCACACATCTGGCCCTGGGTTCAGTCACCTGTGCCTCACGTTTGGGCTCGGCCGGCTGGCTCAAGTTTGGGCAGGGACTGGGGGCCTTGGGTAAATCTCCAGGAACTTTGGGTGCTGCCGGGGTTCGGGCTCCCGGGGCCCACGGGCAGTATTCGTCTGGTTCTCTCCCCGTTCCCCCCCCCTCCCCCGCCCTTGCAGCTCCCGCCTAGGAGGCGAGCCCTTGCCCTCTGACAATTCCTCCAGTCTTTGGATATCAAAGTCCACGTCACTGCGCTCCGGGCAGTTTTCCTTTCGCTTAGCTTTCCGAGAAATAACTGTCTGCACTTTTGGGGGGATAAATCCCCTGGTAACTTCCCCTCGGTAAGAGGTGAAGAAGGGGTAGGAAGGGTAGAAGAGAAAGGGAGGACTTTAATCACTCCTTTTTAGAAAAACCTCCCGCAGCTTAAACCGTGGTTTGAAGCCCCCTCCCCCATTGTCTGGGTGGGTAATGAGTGCAGGGGTGGTGGCAGGCAAAGGACGCAGCCTGAACTGGACTTGGCAGCCAGGGTTGTGAGACCTTAGTGAGTGGCTTGTGGATTTTACAGGACCTGTGATTCAACCTCAGTTTTCAGTAATGTACTGAGGCTCAGAAGCAAGAAACTCAAAATCCCCAATAACTAAAATATCTAGCCGGGAATCCCTTTCCTACCCTGGGGACGGCCCCTGTGGCTGTCATCCTGAGACCCACCGGTCGGCTGCCGCGAGTTGGTCCCTAACAGGGCATTCTGTATGTTCGCCGTCACTTGATAGAGCAGCAGGTTCATTTGCTCGCTAGACTCGAGTAATTTTTGGAATTGTTTTCTCCCTTTGAAGTTTTATCTCCAGCCCTTCATAGACATTTGCAAGTAAAAACTCCTACTTCCTTTTTTTTTTTCGGCTTCTGTTTGTTCTTTTACCCTTTTCTTTAGTTTTTAGCAAAGAAAGACTCACTTCCTTTCCGCGTCTTTAATTTCTGAACATCCCTTCAGTTACCAAGCTGAGGCCAAAAAAAAAAAATGTTTGGAAGCCTCCGGGTCTCTCCCAGGGAAGGAGGGAAAGTGAGGCTGGGGCTGGAGCCAGAAGATCACAAGTGTTTGTGAACTGCTGCTGCTGTGTCGGCTTCCTGGTGGTGGTGCGGAGGAGGGGGGTGGGTGCCCTCGCCCGATCTCTATTATAAACTTACATTTCTGGGTGAGGTCCTGAGCTCACCTGCAGTTCTGAGGCTAGAGAGAACCATCTGCGAAGCATCTCTAGCTCCGGGGCGGGGCGTGTGAAGCGCGAGTTGAACCGGATCTGAAGCAGGTGGGTTGGGGTAAGCACACCCGGGACGTGGCCAGGGGAGAGCCGCCTGACTTTGGCACATTGTGGATTTCACTTTTTCCTGATCCCATTGTCCGATGTAGGAAGGAAGGGCACTCACTCTGGGGCCGAGGGGCGAGGAGGGTGGACGAGGGTGAGGTAAGTTAGTAAAATGCAAAGATCCACCCTCCCCACGGTTGGTTTTCAGTTTTACCCTCTGCCCAGTTGGAGAGTTGCAGTCTCACCACACCAATTCCCCGGGAGCACACGCGCCCGCCCGGTTTCCTTTTCCGTGCGGTCGCTCTGGAGTCAGTTTTCAGTCGGGCCACCTCCGAGGACAGGTTTTCCCTCATATTTAGCTGCTAAAAAGGGAGCGGTTCCGCTTTCAGACTTCCTTCTCGGAGATTCTTTTGGAGCCGCAAGCTCGCGTTTGCAGCCGGTTCCCAGCGGCGCGCTTTCGGTGAGCTGGATGCATTCTAGCCGCGCTGCCAACCTCGGCTGATCTGAGGGTCAGAAACCTCAGACCCTCAGATCAGTGGTTTGCTTGGATTTATTCGGTTGGCATATGTACAGAATTCTCGGGGTCAGTGTGTTTAAAAGAAAGGTTTGTGGCACTAACAGCGCCTCGTCCAGACTCGGGACGCAAGTCCTGGAAGGCAAGTGCGCCTCCTTCGGAGCCCTCTGCATAGCTGCGCCCGTTGGGGATACGTGCCAATGGCCAGGCTGGCTTAATCCAAGAGACCAACTGACTTACCCGCCTGCAACCCTTCATTTCGGGAGCACTTTTAGTAGTGTGTGTTGAGACCTAGAGAACAAAAATTCGCGCCTGTGGAACTGCTCCTGCAGGTCTTTTGGGCTGTAGTCGCTACATAGTCATTGATACGTTCCGGGCATGGCCTGTCACCTGTTTTGAAGGGAGGGGGACAGGACGTATGAACCACAGAAACTGAATTCAGAGATGAAGGCAATGAAGTAAGTGCTGAGCATCCGAGGAAGCAAGAATCTCATTATCCTTGTAGAAAGAGCGTCAGCCTGTGGTGACATTTTGTATTGCTTTTTTAAAAAAATGCTTTCCTTGATTACTTACAACAAGGAGGTGCAGTTAACTGTTTCTTCTCTTGGATCTTTGGTGTGCACCCTTCTCAGGAATTTTTCTTAATTTCTTACTGATACAAGGTTAATTCTAAGACATAAGCACACTTAAGTTTTTCCCCCAGAGTGGGGTATTATGTTCTCAAGGCATTGTTTATCTCAGTAGGCCTTGGGGAAAGCATCAACTCAAATAATGTCTTTGCAGACTGCCTGATGTGGGACTATTAAAATTTATTAATTTAAAAATGGCAAACTGCTTAGTAGCCAGTAAATATTGCTTTTTCCTTGATGATTTATTTAATCCAATAGCAATTTACAACTTAATGGGATACTATTTTCAGTAAACTGCTTTCCTAGGCTTGGCTCAGCATCATTCACCTTTGGGCACTTGAGCAAGTTATTTCACATATTTGGACTTCAACTCTCTCATATGTAAGTAAAACGGTGGACTAAGGATCTACTCTCTGGGATCTCTTTAGCTCAAAACTGTTTCTAATGACCTAAGGTAAAATGCTGATTTGATCAAGGCAGAGTCATTATCCACAAAACAGATGAACATAAGGGAAGGTAAACAAAAATAATATAAAAACAGGGAGGGGGACAAAACAGAAGAGACTCATAAATATGGAGAACAAACTGAGGGTTACTGGAGGGGTTGTGGGAGGGGGGATGAGCTAAATGGGTCAGGGGCGTTAAGGAATCTACTCCTGAAATCATGGATTCACTATATGCTAACTAATTCAGATGTAAATTAAAAAAAATTAAAAATTAAAAAAAACCTGTTTCTAATGACCTAAGGTAAAATGCTGATTTCGTCAAGGCAGAGTCATTATCCACTTGTATTTTTCTAATGCTTTCAGACAGACCCAATGGATACAGTTCATATAAATTGTGTTGCTAGAAAATGTCAGTGGTACCCAATTGCGAAATTTCCATCTCTTTTCCTACTTGTTTAAACCCATTATAATACCTTGTGCTTATTCCTCCAGGCCTGAAGAGGGCTATTAAAAAAAAAAAAAAAAAAAAAAAAAAAAAAAAAAAAAGAAGTGTGATAGAGAGGATTTAGTCTCCTACTATCCTGGGAAAAGAGAGATTTTTAGGTCTCAGAAAATGCCATTAGTATAACCCATATGTCCTGGAAGACTGCCTCTATTTAAACTGCATATGTGGTTCCTAGAATGAAATGTTAAGTGATCGTTGATGCTATTATATTCATGTGACAAAGCCTTATATGTACATCCTTAAGATGCCCCTAAAATAATTGATTTGCAAGGTGGTTTTAAGTGCGCTATGGAAGGAAGTAGAAAACAGTAATGCTTTCCTGTGGTTTTAAAATCTATAGAAATCCAAAATATTTTCATGACACAATTTCAAACTTTGACTTTTTAGAAAATTCAATTTAGCTTATCTTTTTAAATAGAATTTTGGAAGAGAATGCTTGTTTGCTGTTAACTTATTAAAGAGAAGAAAATCAATAAAAGTCTACTTTAATAGTCTTAAGTGTTACCAGAAATTATTTTTTTATTGGAGTCAGCACTCACATGTTCAGTTTTCAGTTATGTCATATAGGAATGTTCTGACTTTGGGAAAGCTATTTTCCTCCTCCTTCTTATTTCCCATCTGTAAGTTTTTCTGTCTTTGTAATGCATGGTTCTGATTTTGGTGAGATTAGTAATTCCCTTGCTCAGCATTTGAATTTTTCAACTAAAGCATGTTATATTATATTAACATGCTATATGACATTATATTATTAATAGAAAAACACTCTTTAATTTATTACATTTAATTATCACTTTGACCATTTTAAAACTTAGTTTTTATTTTTTATCTTAGGGAAGGGGGAGGGACAGAGAGAGAGACAGAGGGAGAGAATCTTAAGCAGACTCTGTGCTGATGGCACAGCCCCATGTGGGGCTCTGTCTCACCGTTGTGAGATCATGACCTGAGCAGAAATCAAGAGTGGGGCACTTAACCAACTGAGCTGCCCAGGCGACCCATACACCATTTTTTTAAAAATCAAAAAAATGTCTCTTTTTATTTCTTTTTTCTCCTTTTTCTTTTTCTCAAGTTTTCAGGTCACTAAACATAGGCCTTTGTAAAATTGATCACTAAGTTGTTAACATTACTTGGTGTAAGAAGTTAGTATTTTGTCATACAGTATCTTAGATACTTAGATCTTAGTACTTAGATCTTAGATACTTAATCACCTTGTTTTATATTCTTAAACACACTTCTTTCTGTTCTAGTCATTTATTTAGCATAAAATATCACCAAAGGCGTCTCACTCTCTGAAGCTGTTAACTCAAGCAGTCACAGATATGTATATTACCAATTATGCAAGAGAGCAACATAGGTGCAACTATGATAAAATAGTGTGTATACACAGAAACTTGAATTTAACTTCTCAGAGTGTCAACTTTATTCTTCATTGTTAGGTTTTAACAAAGGCCCATTTCATTTTTTACACATGAATG